GCTTCAATGGTTTTTTGCATTGTATCGTGATCCGCGATGACACTGGATACACTACGATAACCCTAAGCGTAGAAGATCGTTGGGTAATCCCAGACATTCATCACCATTGGCGGCAAATCCGAATATCTATGATTCGAGTTTTCTGCTCTGCATCTAGTGGGATCAGCTGGATGTAGTTTATTAGGAGCTGCCCAAGCCGGCCGAAACCCTCCCGGAAGCTTGCTATCGATTGCAGTTGATGCGTTTGAGTCAAGCATTGAAGCAAAAGCAGAGATACGACAAAGTGATTTTGCAACATGGCAATGCTAGCCACATGTTGCAAAACTGGTGGATACCTACTTGGAAACGCTTAAATGTGAAGTCTTACCGCACCCGGCTTATTCACCAGACATTGCCCCCAGCGATTATCACTTGTTCCGATCTATGGCTACATGACCTGGCTGAGAAGCACTTTCATTCTTATGAAGAAGCCAAATAATGGGTCAATTAGTTGTTAGCCTTAAAAGACGTGTCAGTTTTCCGACGTAGAATTCCCATCCTCCCAGAAAGGAAAAAGTAATGGCTAGCAATGGACAATACATTCAGTGACGTGTTTCTTAAGGCTTTTTGTAAATAAAACGTTATTTTTCATTAAAAATCAGCGTAAACTTATAATGGACTCTCCTTCTCCCGTCGGTTTCGACGTATGGGGATCTGACAACTTATTGATTCAGTTATGAAAGTTTGTGCGATAATCTAAGTGGCATTTTATAGCGGCTAGCGATTTACAAAGGAGGCCACATATGGATCAAGTGTGAGGATTGTGAGATGAGATCACTGTTAGATTGGCTGACCTTTTAGATCTTGCTCTCGCTTCTTGGAGAGGATTCAGACAAGCAGATTGAAAATAGGGTTAAAACTAAAACACGTTGATCTCCATTCTACCCGCTTCAAATCTAAGCACTCAAGTGTGTTATGTGGCATATTGACTGCTGACAAGTTGCTTTTCAGCTTGTCTTTGTATCTTAGCCATGGACGTCCTACATTCCTGTAGACCTGATCTAACTGGCTGTACATTAGGATCATGGGTATCCTGTCATCAGACATTCTAAAGACATGACTAGTCAACCGTAACTGAGACTGTATGATAAAAGTCTCGATTCTTCCAATATTACATATTTCATTTAAGCATGTTTGATTAAATAATTTAGATATATTATGTATATTTGTTTTAGTTTTAATCCATTCAAGTTCATAAATAAATTTCTTGGTGTTTGTATAAAATTGATTAAGAATAATTCCAAAATTTTCTTTCAAAATCTTTATTTTCCGAAGTATTTTCAATCTCATCTGAGATCATCTTAAGTGGTTACATATCTATGGACATATTATGCGTTAACATCGTAAATTCAAAATATTTTTTACCTCTATGTGAAGAAGGGAAGTCTTGTGATTATTTAAAAGATTTTTCTAAAAAAGAAAAAAAAATTAAGATTTTAATTGTAGTATTTTAATTTATTAGTTTTTATATAACATTTTGCTGCTACAAATATTTAAGAAGTTACTTGCTATATTCGGTGTTGACTTTTTTTTTCTTTTTTGGTCGAAATTATCTTATATAATTGGTTCCCAGAATTTTAAATTTGGCTTATTATTATCTTGATGGCGCACTGATATTCTTTTGACTAATATCTGTCTAAACTGTGAATATGGACATGAGTCTTTCTTTAAATGTTCTGAGATTCAAGTGACACGTAAACCTTCTCGTCATCGTCGTTGTAGAACCAACACACGTATTAACTTTATTATCAGAGATGCAATCTCCCAAAGGATATTTAAATTGATATACGACTTTAGTCTTATATATATATATATATATATATATATATATATATATATAATATGTCTCCATCGCGACACACAAATGACTGTTTCGAAACTGAAGCACAAATCTTCTAATTTAACTCCAAAGTTTAAATTTAATATTCGAAGCTCGATTCAATTTTCAAGCGATGCTAAGAATCACTAACGTAAAAAAATTGGATTTACACTATTTCTAATTTAAGGCGATGGTGTCACGAGAATTGCGTTTTTTATTTAGGGATTGTTGGACGTAAAAAGCAAGTGTATCTTTGTGTGGCAAATTTAAAGTGGGTCAATATTGTATGAGGGTTAATGATTAATGTTTTCTGTCTCGCTACACTGGGCGACACTGACTTTCTCTTCGTTTGATAAGGATACTAAGAAGCTTTTTCGTGAATATGAGAAAATAAGTAGACAAAATGGTCTATATTATCTAATGAGACATGTCTATATATATATATATATATATATATATATATATATATATATATATATATATATATATGTCATATAGCTAGATAGACAGATATGAACAGACTGATAATCCATATGTTTAAGTGATACACAAGGTAGAGGTTTACTGTTAAAATGATTATGGTGAAGGATTTATGGGTAAAAGATGAGGTAGTATAAAGTGAAGAGCATGAGGATAAGGAGG